AAGCATGAAATTCTTCTCTGGGTGAGGGGGTTGCTAAGTGCAAACCAAACACATAGTTGGCGTGAGGCGATGTCATAGCCTCTTGCACATGAGTCTTCAACTCTAAGGCCAAGCTTGCAGCTTCCTGCTGGTTGCCACGCTCCAAGGCTAGTTGGACAAGCCGACACCCAACAGGATGTCGGGACAAGTCCCAAACATGACCTTTTAAGGCTTCGATTGCTTGGGACACGTCAATGTTGTCTTGCAGCTGGTGCTGAAGCTGCTCGCAGGTATTCTTGTTGAACCATGCCATTCCTGGATTGGAAACTCGACCCGGGACCATTGGAATCTTCCCAAAAGTCCCATTTCTGGCGTCGGACTGTCTTCTGCCTTTCGGGGCATCACTGGATGAGCTCGATGCAGGCCTGTCCTCTTGATCTCCTGATGCAAACCCACTCGGAAGCTTTGACTCATCCACATGAAGCACAGGAGCACCTGACAGGAGATGAGGGAGATCTGCGATAGGCCGTTCAGGGCAGAGCGGGGCAGTTTGGGCTCGATCCGCCTCATTCCAGTGCATCCCGGGCATTGCCACCATGGCCATAGCTGACGTTCAAAGAGCTATTGGCTCACACGTTTCCAGCCAAAATGAAGGCTTGAACCAAGAAACAAGCCTCTCCAAGATGAAAACAAGGGGCCTATTATGCAAGCGTGATCAAGAATCAAAGACAATGATGCACTACCCCTGCCACCACCATCACCACCACCGTCTTCGTTCCTCTTATGACATGCGATGTCGGAGCGCATACCACTGATGTGACGTCAGCCTCTAGCAAGCATCTCTCATCTGGCTCTTGAAAGTAAACAGCATTCAGAATTACAGAATCTTCCGGCTACTGTTCGCTGCTTGAGCGGCCATCACATTGTTTCGACCATGCGCGTGCATCGTCGGCTGTTTGTGAAGCCACTCTGGCCACCACGACCCTTCGGCCCGTCGGCTGAAAATCGGCGAATGCGTTCGGTGTTCAGGTTACGACCAAATTCGGTCTGAAAAATGCGAATTCAACGAGACATATCGGGACATGCCTACCTGTACAGATCCATGCACAAAATCCTGGCGCCTGGCTTGAACAAGGCACCTTCCAGCTTCCCGAAAACTAGGCGCAAAGGGCGATCGTTCCATTGCGCAAAAAGCATGCACAAGCCTAAGCTTACACTGTAGAGAAGCCACTGCATCTGGTTACGTCACCGTGGGAAGACAATCACCTTTATGGTGATGGAAGGGTGGCCGTCGACCATTTGGACTGAAATCATTTGAGCCTTCTGGATCCCTTCAACAGACTAAGACCCACATCTGCCATGAGATATTGTCCATGCTTGGTCTTGTTCAATTCCTGACGCACAGCGGTCAACTTGGCCATTTCCAGCTTGCGGTCTGTCTTCGGGTGCTCGACAACGGCTCGGGCCACGTAGCAACCATAGCGAGAAAGCGCTAGGTCAACCAAAGAGGAAGACAACTCAAAGAGCAAGGACTCCTGATAGTAGTCAGAGCAAGATGTCAACACCCTCTCAACCAAATAGCTGGCATTCTGGTTCTTGGCAAACCCCAAGGGGTTCCGATCAATGGTGGCCGCTACTGCATCGCGGTGCTTTTGACTGCCATGCTCCAGGATGGCTTGGGCTACATGATGCCCAAAGGAGTGGCAGCACAAGTCTTCTGCTTCTTGCAGGACTTCCTCCTTGGATTTGCTCAAAGCAAACCATCGAAACATGATCGTCCTGAGATACTAGCCAGGAAGGTCTCCAGGAGCCTTGTGCTTTCAACCTACCAAATCAAAACCTTAACCCTCCAATCACAAACTCTTGGCCCTTGGCTTGGAGGGCGACCATTCTTCGATTTTCCAAGGCGCGACCAGATCCTCCGTGCCCTCCTTTGCCGCATGGAACTCAATCAAGCGACAAAAGATCCGGCAGCCAAAGCGATGCCTGGCCAAGTCAGCGGCATCGCCACGCAGCTCCCAGGCTACAAAGCTGGCACCCTTCGACCATGTGAGTTGGGTCACAAGTTTCTGCAAGACCTTCAGGAGCTGGGAGACCGTGCTAGGAACCCGACACAGCCCGACAATGTTAATACATGCAACACATGATGAACAAGGACTTGATGTGTTCAAGCATGAAATTCTTCTCTGGGTGAGGGGGTTGCTAAGTGCAAACCA